GAATGATGAGTAAGTCCCACAGCAGAATTTATTACAGCAACTTATGATGAAAATTACGTTTTTCTAATACAAACTATCACTGTCTATGAATGGCTATAATAAAATTTTTCACAGTAATATATGATGATAGAAATCGCGATAGTTTCAATACACACTGTGTTATCAGAATAGTAAGTTCAGTAGCTGGATTTTTTTTTTTTACAGAACTTCAAGATAATTCTGTTGCAAACTGGATAATGATGAATTCTAAATCATAAATCCAATTCTAACTACATAGTGTATCACCGGAATATAGAATTCACAATAATCCCCCAAGTTTTTTTTAAAAAAAATATATGTATTTAAATTCATTAAAAAAAAACAAAGTAGCAACTATTTCATCGACAAGATATTATATTTGCGATTTCTCTATTTTGAAAAATGGGGTCCTGCAAATTTACTATTGCTAGTTTCAGCATCATCGGGCACAAGGTGAAGTAACATTAGCACATGGCATATTGACAATTTCTCAATTTTACATATGAGCGAATATGCATCAGCATGCACAATATCCATAGTACCCCAAAATTTTTTATAGAGGGTCAAGTCGTTTGACATGATGATTGCCGCAAAAAATGTGGCAACAACATAATAGCGATAATGCTGCTAGTGGAATTCATATTTTTACATTAATATTTTCCTATTCTTTTTATTAATAATCAGCGAAAGTATTTCTTTTATTAAGTTATCGTTATGCAAATCGTTCTTTTAAAAGAGAACAATATCTAAATGACGTCAAATGTATGTTTGACCAATCGAATATAGGAAAATATGGGTTTCAAATTAAAATTCAGAAATTTGATGTCTCAATAGAGCTGGGATCCACGGTTAAAAAAGAATATTCAGAATATTTGTTACACAAATTCACGAATAGTTAAGGATTAGAGTATTATTAGATTTTTACACGGAATTCGTGAATATTCGAGATGAATAATCTAAGATTTTACTATTACGTGAACATCCATATAAAATTTGAATATATTCAATATCATTCGTGGATGGCAAAAACCCGTGAATATTCATTGAATAGTCATAATGGATATTCAACGGATCCCAGCTCTATGTCCCAATTCGCCCATATAACTGTACATTACAGTTTATTAATAAATTACGTATATCACCCGGTGTGCAACGTATAAAAAAATTATTTTACAATACCACTAGTATATGATCTGGTATTGTAAAATAATTTTTTTATATGTTGCGCACACCGGGGCGAAGGATCAGTCGTGTAACATCCTGTTTTTTTTGGATGTTTTAAAACTTTTTAAAACATTGGCGCTAAGACAAAATGCCGATTCACCAAATTTCATGGAGATAACTTTTTAAGAAAAAATATTCACTTTATAAACTTTCGTTATTATATAATTACAAGAAATGCGCAATTGCTTAACAATTTAATGCATAACTATAAATTTAATTATCGTCATCTTCGAACCAACCATCAATCTCAATTCCTTTTTGAATTCTTAAATTCTGATACACTGCAACAAGTTTTTTTAACCCATAGTAGTTACATTTTTGGCGAGGCGCAGTTTCCGTAACTTTTTTATGGAGGTCTCCCACAGATTATAATTTAAAAAGAGATTAAAGATAAAGTTGTATTTTGATAAAATTAGTAAATACTAGTATTATGATTACGTCAAAACACATCCCTACTATTACTGTATATACGGTGAAAGATAGGGGGTAGACAATACATACAGTATAACCAATCAGAATGATTAAATTTCTTAAGAGGGCATTATATGTGGTACTATAGAAGAAATTCGAATATTTATACGTAGAAATTCGCGTTTTAACTTTCCACAAAATGACAAGTCCCAAATGGCATAGGTACTTCGACGACAATGACGTTTATGATTGGAATGCTCTTGGATTTCATATAAAGACGATATAAAAAAGTTAAACTATCAAAAAGCAAATGATACTCTTACAAAAAGTCTACGTTCTATTATCAACGATTGTAAAGACGAAATTAGGATACAGGAAGCCGCGAGACTTTTAGCAAATAAGGCAAGTACAACCTGCACTTCTTATGGTAGAGTCAATGATGTGGACTGATGCCCATACTAAGAGTAATCAACTGCTTGCTGGTTTTCGATGTATGAGTAACAGTTGAGTTCATGCTAGGAGAAATCAACTGTTTGCTGGTCCTCCGAATGCCTGCTTGGAGGCATGAACTTATTACCACAATGTCTAAACATGCGTGGGATTCCGTTGTCATGCTAGGAGAAAACAACTGTTTGCTGTTCCTCCGAATGCCTGTTAGGAGGCATGCCAATGCCTACGTCTGTTTGGATGCTTGACAATGTCTACGTCTGCTCAGAATTAGTGTTAAAATTATTATACATTATGTATTATATCATTTCTCACTCAATATTTTTCACAAAGAGCAAAAGTACCTATGGAAGCGAGATTGACGAATTATGGGTTTCTGTAGAATATCAGAGATCGGCACAAGAGAAATTAAATTATGAACAAGTAAGTTCATGAATTTGATTACTATATATATCATAATTTTAAATTACTTTCTCACCAAGTATGATAATGTTTCAAAATACTCATACGCTTTGACTAATGCTGCAGTAATAAACTTAGCCAATATTATACAACCCACGCTACCAAGTAAACGGTCTTTTGAAAGTCTCAAATCAGAAACAACGAATTTGACACAGAGCACGGAACTAGGGATGGGTTCGACTACGAACGGCTACGATTATTCATCTTCATACCCCGAATAAGCGTCAGATATATGATGAGGGGTGTTATTCGGTGAGTACCATACGAGTGCCGCCTAACTTGAGCTTCTAAATTTATAACAACTCTTGAAAGTAATCTGATTAATGACATATTAATTTAGTTACGTATCATACTGTATATCATTAATCAGATTTTTCAGGTGTTGAAATAAATTTTGAATTTAAAAGCAGAAGTCTAGTTTTTACTAGATATTACTTTAATATTTATAACATAATTTAGAGCATGTTGTTTTGATTTTGATTACTTTTTATGTTAGATATCTTGATGCGATAGGCAATATTTAAAATACAATCGAATTTACATTCAGGAATCATCTATATGGGCTAAGGTAGAGAACTACCTTGAGAATGCTTTGAAGGTTAGTTCTCACATATGTTAATTGGTAGAATATCGGAAAGAAATATATATATTTTATATTTTTTTTTTGTTTATTTTACAGAAATCAGGAAACGATTTTAAGAAAGCTATTATGCTAGAGATTGAAGACAATGATGCAAGCAGTTTCCGCTTATATTGCAAAAAAATATTGATCGATTTGTGAGTCTTTAATATTTATTGTAAATTTAAATAAGTAGGCACCTATTTCTGACTCATTGGTGCTAGTTACAATTTGGTAGATGTTTTCCCTACACTTTCCAGAAAAATTGGAGAAAGAAAATACATAGTTCAGAATCTTTCTTCATTATTCAAATTTTAATAAACGTTTCTAAAAATAATCTTGGCACGCTTGGAGGTGTGGTCTTTGTAGGCATGCTTTGTATGAACAAGATGCTAAATTTAGTAAAAATTGAAGAAAGTCAGATTGGCATAATTGGAGGGAGAGATCAGAGACGCTCTTTGTAGGCACAACAACTTTAATTAATTGTAATGATAATTCAGAAATTATGAAACTACTTTCGGAAATATCACCTTTGATTGGATCGAATCACATTCCACATCGGCAAAATTGACAAAATCGCATACCAGTTTAGGAATCGTTAAATTTGATGTTAAAGGTAAGTAATAAATATTTTATTAATCTATTTTGCTTTATAATATTTTGATATTGGTTTCTGTTGTTATAAGGAATACGTTTATTTGATGATAAGGAAATATGGCACATGGAGGTTACCGGACCACCATCAACAACAATAATGAATCATGTAATTGGCGATACAAAGAAATCGTTACATAGTGACATTTTAAACCTGGTTGCAATTTTGCTTGAACATTTAGACGTTCCTGTAAAAGTTGCGACAAATATAAAGGTGTTCAGTTTGCAAGCTATTGGTAATATCTTCTTTATTTTAGAAAATGATAATTTCAATATTATTGATTAGCATTGTTTTTAACTATTAGGTTATCGAATCACACTATATTCTCTTAACATAATGGATGATGGTTCCTTTTTGGCATCTGAATTTGCCTCTGCAGTAATTCCCTTTTCATTTGAAGGTAGATCCAGTGTTTCGGCCTAAACCTCCCCAAAGTCCGAAACGTTTCGCCCAGAGGAATTTTAGTTTCACCCTATAAGTCCGAAACCCTCCGAAACTAGTTTCACCCAATTTGATTTGCAAATGATCTGCAAAATCTGGTTTGGCTCAAAACACTGGGTAGATCTAAATACAAGGCAGTTCTTTATCTTATGGCGGTTTTTCATGTAAGTAATTATAGGGTGTCTTTTCATTATTTTTGTATTACTAAGGGATTTTATTTTAGGATGAAGTTGTAAAACAACTTTCAATTATGCAAGAACCTGATTAAACTATTAATCATAGTGAAGGAGTTACGATGCGAGATGTCTTAAAAATTCCTAAATCGTTACAGGATCTTTTAAAGCAAAAGTAATTATTAATCTTAATTGTAATTAATTTAGTGTAACTTTCAGGAAATAATAAATGTCTTCCTAATTGCGAAAAAAATTTAAAGGATACAGTACATATAGTATTGTATCTGGTTATGTATAAATTAACTTTATAAACCCAGAACGTAAAGGGCGACCCAGCCGCCGCAGTAAATTTCGAGACATGTGATTTCAAATTCCAAAAGTTCTTCGAAACCCCATATCCAAGAACACGAAAATAACTTAATTATGCATAATGTTTCTTTTGAAAATTGTAAAGCATTATTAGATGATATAAATATTGAAAGCTTTCAAAATTTGACGGGTTGAATTTATTTTGTATATCTTTTATGTAGAGTGTATACAGTACTACGATTTGCTTAATTTTATTTTAATTTTCCGTAAATTATATTTACATAAATGAAATTTTGAACAATTTTTAAATATAATTGTTCCAGCCAAGTCAATTTGTTCGAAAAATTATATTAGATTAGTTGAATACACAAGTATCTATTCAGATAATTACTATTTCTCATTACTGCGCTACGAGGTCTGGTTATAAACAATCTAAATTACTATTTCAATTGATCTTTAAAAATCTGCGATAATAGTTTGTATTGCAATTACCATCATGAGTTGTTGTAAAAAATCCTTTACAAAATTTACTTGCCACTCTAGTAATCATATGTGCTAAATTAGTTTTGCATTTGAATATTCATAATTTTATCAGAAGTTACTGTAAAAGATCTTGTTAAAGAATTCGCTATTCTAGTGAAAATAGTATGTAGTCAAGGTCTTGTTAATTTTGTATTGGAATTTTCGTGATTTCATTGTGAATTACTGTAAAAAATTCCTTTGCTGAACTTACTATTCTAGTATATAGTTCACTTTTACATTATCCATATTCTAGTTAAGAACAGTAAAACATTTATTTAAGGTTAGCAAGGATACGACATTTTCTGATCACATTTATGAAGTAATTTTGTCTTTTTCGCCGCATAAGTATACAATACTGGGCAAAAATTGTTGAATAACGGTAATTTGGCTCAAACAGACAGATGATTGGCTGACATGTGCCGCGCAGCGGCACGTGTCAGCCAATCATTTGTCCGTTTGAGCCAAATTATCGTATTCAACAATTTGCCCAGTATTGGTGTTATCCGGCAATTTATGATCATGATTGGTAGGGAGTCGCTCGCTGAGTTTTATTTTTTGAATATTGGAATAACATAATTATATCGTAACACATGAAAAAAATAACAAGAATAAATTTTTTCATGATCATATGAGTTTGCCGGATAAAAAAATATATTCATATTTATTATTGTAATATTTTACAATCGGCATTCACCCCGGCAATATATATATATATCAGTATATGAGAACCAAGTACTGAGCCTTCATCCCTAATAATATTCAACAAATTAAACGATAACATGTATTCTAAACTTACATTACCACGTTTAACTAGCTTTAGAGGTACATCTAATGGACCTTCACGAAATTCAACATCCGACGGTCATCCTTGGATGTCAACACAATACTTCAAGTTCAAGTTGATTACAGATGATAGTATCGATGTAATAGCTAATATGTTTTTACAAAATATGACGCCAGAAGGTCAACTACTAATTAAATACGATTTTATGTCAGCTGCTTACCATATGGACGAGTAGGAGATAGAGAGATGACCATGGTGATGAAGATTGAACATGTGGTGAATCTTTATTACCTCGATTGCTTCGATCATGCTAATGGTTTCGATCTTGTTCATGTCAGTGTTAGTGATTTAATCGATGAACAAACATGTGTAAAGAAGGCTATAACGTTACGTTATGTTTATACTGACCGTTTTGACACATACATCGAAGACACTACACGATATAGATGTACACTTGATAAACTTGTTGATCATTGGTATATTCAAGTAACTCATT